TATGGTATTTTTATATGTAAATATCGGCTTTTTTGGTCAATAAATTTTGTTATAAAAATAGAAGTTCTGATGATTATTTTGGTACTCTCACTTAAATATTTTTAAGCTCGTGTTTAGTAATTGTTTTAGAATTGACCGAATGTAACTTCAGTTACTGACCATCACGATACTTAACCCTTGGGTACGGGGAGTGGATCGTGACATACACGTCACATTTGCTCCGAAAAGAAACTGTTTACAACTTTCGAGCCGGTTACAAACGGTGAGAAGTTGTTCATGGGAAACTCTATTACCTCCATTGTTGAGGGGAAAGGAAATGTGGTCCTGAAGTTGACCTCAGGAAATGAACTGACCTTGAACGAAGTCCTGTATGTTCCAAACATTCGTAAGAATCTTGTCTCATGGTCTCTTCTCAGCAAACATGGTTTTCACATAGTCTTCGAGTCAGACAAGGTCATTCTGACCAAGAGCGAAGTGTATGTGGGTAAGGGATATATGTTGGGGGGTATGTTCAAACTCAATGTAATGACTATTATCCCAAAGATGAATAAAACTACATCTTCGTTTGCTTACATGCTTGAGTCTTCCAATTTATGGCATGGTAGACTAGGACATGTGAACTTTGAATCTTTACGTAGATTGATCAAGTTAGATCACATGCCATCTTTTAAGATTAATCCAAAAACACAAGTGTGAAACTTGTGTTGAAGCAAAGTTGACAAGATTTTCGTTTTATTCTATTGAAAGAAGTTCAGAGCCGTTGGACTTAGTGTATAGTGATGTGTGTGACTTAAAGTTTATACAATCATGTGGTGACAATAAGTACTTCATCACTTTTGTTGATGATTGCACTAAGTATTGTTATGTCTATTTGCTCAAAAACAAAGATAAGGCTATTAACAAGTTTGTTCTTTATAAGAATGAAGTTGAGAATCAATTAGGTTGCAAGATTAAGACTTTAAGAATTGATCATGGTAGTGACTATGAATCACCGTTTATTGAGATTTGTCAATAAGTACTTCATCACTTTTGTTGATGATTGCACTAAGTATTGTTATATCTATTTGCTCAAAACAAAGATAAGGCTATTAACAAGTTTGTTCTTTATAAGAATGAAGTTGAGAATCAATTAGGTTGCAAGATTAAGACTTTAAGAATTGATCATGGTGGTGACTATGAATCACCGTTTATTGAGATTTGTGCTCTATTCGGGATTATCCACCAAATCACGGTGCCTTATTCTCCTCAATCAAATGGGATTGCTGAGCAGAAGAATAGGATGTTAAAGGAAATGATAAGTTTTGGATTGCCATGGAACATGTGGGGGAAAACAATTCTCTCCGTGAATTATATTCTGAATAAAATATCCCGAAAGAAGGTGGGCATGACCCCGTATGAGTTATGGAAAGGCTTTAAGCCTTCTTATAAATTCTTACGAATATGAGTGTGTCTTGCAAAAGTGACAATACCTATACCCAAACATGTTAGGATAGTCCCAAAATTCGTGAATTGTATATTCATTGGTTATGCACATAATAGTAATGCATATTGGTTTCTTGTACATAAGTCTGAAATTTCAGACATATACATGAATACCATCATGGAGTCAAGAAATTAATGCATGTTTCTTTGAAGACATTTTTCCTTGTTAAACCCAAGAAGGGGTTCCGAGGTCTTTAGAGCAATTTGATGAGCTTGCTAGTGATAATGATCAAATTGAGGTTTTAGATGGGCCTAGAAAGAGTAGCAGGGCTAGGATATCCAAGTCTTTTGGTCCAGACTTCTGGACTTATATGGTTGAGAACAAATCTCAAATTTTCCACGAAGTTGTGACTTCTCTTGAGAGTCCTTTGTGGAAAGAAACGATCAAAAGTGAGATTAACTTCATCTTATAGAACCACACCTGGGAGTTGGTGGATTTACCTCCAGGCAGTAAACCTTTAGGCTACAAATGGATTTTAAAATAAAGATGAAGGCCGATGGGTCAATTGATAAGTATAAGGCTAAGCTTATTATCAAAGGGTACAGGCAATGAGAAGGCCTGGCTTACTTTGATATGTACTCACCTGTAAATAGGATAACATCCATTCTCATGGTGATTGCGATAGCAGCTTTGCTCAATCTAGAGATACACTAGATGGATGCAAAGACAACTTTCTTAAATGGGGATTTGAATGAAGAAATCTACATGGAGCAACCTGAAGGGCTTTTAGCTCCAGGGCAAAACAAGAAGGTCTGTAAACTTGTCAAATTATTGTATGGTTTGAATCAAGTGCCTAAACAATGGCATGAGAATTTTGACAACGTAATGTTGTCAAGTGGGTTTAGAATCAACAAATGTGACAAGTGTGTTTATATCAAAGACACTGACAGAGATTATGTCATTTTGTGTCTATATGTTAATGATATGCTCATTATAGGTAGTAATGATGAAATGTTCAAAACTACCAAGAAGTTGTTAAACTCTAAGTTTGACATGAAGGATATGGGTGTTACAGATGTTATTTTGGGAATTAAGATTACTAGAACATTTGGCGGAATTGTACTTTCTCAGTCTCATTATGTTGATAAGATACTTGAGAAGCTTAGTGGATCAAATACGAGTGTGTCATTGACACCTGTAGACTTAGTCCACATTTTACTAAGAATAATGAAAAGAGTGTCTCTCAGTTAGAATATTCTTGGGTAATTGGAAGTTTGATGTATTTGATGAGTTCTACTGGGCCGGATATAGCCTACTCGATTAACAGGCTTAGTAGATGCACGAGTAATCCTTATGCTACTCATAGGAAGGGCATTGTGCGCATGTTAAGGTATTTACGCTACACTTGGGATTATGGGCTACATTATACTCGATATTCAGCGATGCTAGAAGGCTATAGTGACGTGAATTGGACATCAGATATAAAGGACTCAAAGTCCACTAGTGGATATGTGTTCACTTTTGGTAGGGAAGCCGTGTCTTGGAAATCTTCCAAGCAAACATGTATATCTAGATCAACAATGAAATCAAAGTTTATTGCTTTAGATAAAGCAACGGAAGAAGCTGAATGGCGCCGCCATTTCATTGAAAATATCCCATGCTAGTCTAAACCTATGCCAGCTATTTGTATTCATTGTGATAGTCAATCTACAATTGGTAGCGCACAGAGTAATATGTATAATGGAAAGTCTAGACATATCCGTCGTAGATATAATTCCATACAACAACTACTCTCGAATGGAGTTATCTCTATAGACTATGTAAAGTTTAAGGACAACATTGCGTATCCACTAACTAAAGGGTTAGATCGAGTGTTAGTCGAGACGTTGTTAAAAGAAATGGGGCAGAGGCCTTTGGAAGTTATTGAAATGGAAACACAACCTAATTGACTGGAGATCCCAAGATTTAGATTTAATGGGACAACTTAATTGCATATAACAATGGTATGTCACTATGGAGGTAAAACCCTCAAGCCATTCCTTGAAGCAGTGATACCTGCGGGGGTGAAGGTTAAGCAAAGCTTTTAATGACTCTTATGTGTTGAGGATTCAAACAGGGTATAGCAGGATACTTTGAAGAGTCACCTATGTGAGTGTGAAGTGGGGCCGCTTCTAGAAGAATTGGGAAAGCCAAAATTCTTTGAAACCACTCGCTGAACTAGGCTAGTACTCAGGGCCATACAGGGCACACCAGTGAGAACAAAATGGTGGTAGGAGTAATTCGCATGTGAAATCTATTGTCTCAGCTTACATAAACGACAGAGCAGTTCAAGATGTCATATTCATTGATCAGCCAGTAAACTCGATAGGTTTTCACTGGGAGAGGTTCAAAGTCAAAAGCTACCTTCTCTAATGTCGGGGTTAGTCCGTTGTACTTTTCCTCAGAGTCATTATTGTTGAACGGTGTCCATTTGTTAAGTCATTCGGTCAACTTTTATTCATCTGGGGAATTGTTGGAAAAAATAGAGTTTTGGTAACTTTAATTAAATATTAAAGTGGGCCCCAACCATCTATTGTGTTTGGTCCAAGTGGGTCTAGATACTTTGCAATGATATCTTTACACCACGAAAAGAATGGCCACAAACCATTGAAATTTGAATGAGAAATTGCCTCATGAAGTTAGCTTCATGAGAGAGGTAGTGAGAGTAGTGTGTATAATATGTTTGTAACTCCTGCAATATTGCAGAGGTTAATGGTGCATTACTGACCAGTTATAAAGGCTGGAGGCTCCTCCTCTCTCCGCAATACATGTATAAATTGAGACCCTCCTGCCTAGTCTCAACACAGAAATTTTTGCTTCTATTTTACAAGTTAGTTTGCTAGAAAGTTTCTACAGTGAGAAAGTGCTACTACGGTTTTGTTTGCTAAGCTAGATAGAGAGTGCTTTTGCCGTAGCTGGTTTTTGACCGTTGTATCCTGAGAGACAGACGCCGGAATTCCTCAAACACTCGACCCGTGAGGTGGCAAAAATCTATTTTAAGGAAACTGCTACCGTACAGGTTTCGGTTTGCTTTCTTTACCATTTTATTGTATTGTGTATGTCTATTGTAATTCTAAGCATGTGTTCTTGGTATATAATTTTGATTTATTCGTGAATCTATTTATTTAATTTCTCAATTTGGACAATAGAAATAAGGTCATTTAGTATATGCAACTAACATCGTCAGTTATGGGAGATTTATGTAATTATTTAAACGATAGGAAAGGTCCTTATATTTGTCAAAAACATAAAAGGAGGTGAGTGTAATTTACTCAAGATAATATGACATCACAAGCATATAACTAATAATATCAAACAGTTACAAATCAGAATCATCTCTGTACCACTACCCTATTGAAATCAACGTCCTTAGTAATTCAGATTTTACTCAACATTAAAAATAATATCAAAGTTCAAAATTCCAACATACACTGCATGAAAGAGAACAAACAGAAAGGATGCTTGAAAACCAAAAAGAAAAAGCAAGAGCATATGAAAAAAAGAAGAAAGGTGAAAGAGAAAGAAGAAAGGTCATTTTCATCACACTTTCATTTTGGTTTCTAATTCACATATTGACACGCCGCGTAGACTTTAGTGTAGAATTAGGATAGTAAATACAGAAAAGAAAAGAAAACTAGGGATAAGGCTTGAAGAATTGCATTTTGATGCTTTCTCAAGGAACTCCCAAGTTCATCACAAAGGAATATCAAAAAACAATGATGGAAAAGAATAGTAGTGGATCGGAAAGCGAAGATAGTAATAATAGAAGTGATGGATTGGTGGTGTTTGGGAATAGGGGTAGGGTATTTGGAGTGAATGAGTTGTTGGGTTCAGAAGCTGAGATTTTGGGGAAGGGGACTTTTTGGACTAGTTACAAGGCATATTTGGTAGATGGAGATGCTGTTGTTGTAAAGAGATTCAAGGTTCCTTGTGATTTTGCAAAAGATGAGCTTCAGAAATTAGGACAAATGGTGCATCCAAATTTGATTCCTATAAGAGCATACTTCTTTAGTCAATCTGAGAAACTACTTATACGCGATTACATGCCCGTTGGAAGTTTGTCGCATCATCTACATGGTAAGTAAGTTTTTTCTGCTTTAACTGTAATTTCAAATCGAATTCTTATATTTTTCATGTCTTCCTTCAGATTGGTTTAATGTAAAATTGCAAAATTGGTTGTCAACTTGTATTATATTCTTTCCATCTAGCTTATGTATTTATATATTCTTTCCATACAGTTTATGTATTTATATATCACAAAAATAATAATAATAAAATAATAATAATAATATTTAACGAAAGAGATCATAGACAAAGGGGGGATGCGGAGAGTAAAAATCAATGGTTAAAACTGAAGAACAAATAAAAAAAATAGTGGAGTGACATAATCAAAATAATTTTAAAAACAAACTATAGGTTGAAAGGTCATTTTCTTTTTTCAACTCAGTGGGGTACAAACAAAAATTTATAATGTTAGTGAAGTATGCATGGTGAATTGAATTGAATGTTGGCATCGTTAAAAAGATAGAATAAATCATATTATTCTAGACATAGTAATCTTATAATCAGGAACATGAAATAATTGCAGGCTTGAATAAAGGCATATACATTCCATGATGCATTAAACTTGAGAGGCATAGACATGATATAATCCTCTTCTTTTTTTTTAATATATAATTTTTTTTTTTCATTTTAACTAGGACATGGAGGCAAGAACAAGACTCCACTTGATTGGCAAGATAGATATAGAATAGCTTATGGGGTTGCGCGCGGGATCGAATATCTTCACTCTCAGTGCCCTATTGTGTGCCATGGAAACTTAAGGTCATCCAACATCCTCCTCACCAGTGGCCTTGATGCCCATTTATCAGACTTCAGTATAGCTCAACTTCTCTCACCCAATTCCAAACTCAACTATGTTGCTGGATATCGAGCACCTGAGGTGACAAATGTACATCAAGTTTCTCAGAAATCCGATGTCTACAGCTTTGGTGTCCTGCTTTTGGAACTGCTGACAGGTAAGGCCCCAATGGGTGATTTTGATTTGCCTAAATGGGTGCGTTCGATGTGTCAGGAGAAGCCAATCATTGATGTGTTTGATCAGAAGTTACTAAGGCAGCAAGAGAATATTGAGGAGCAAATGTTTCAGTTTTTACAACTAGCAATTTGTTGTACTTTTGAGTATCCTAATAACAGACCCTTAATCGCGGATGTGGCAAACCGGATTAAGGGTATCTGTAAACCCGAATTAGGATAACTCGACACAAATATTCCATGTCTCATACCCAATAGCAAAAATCGCGTAAAAATAAAATAAAATCTAATAAATTAAAAAATAAAATAACTGTACTTGCAGAGCTATCACTAAACAGCAGTTTATTGATCCTGCTCTAAAACAATACACAGTTACTATGTATTCCAAATCTTGTCCTGCTTGTTTGATTGTTTAGGAATATATCTTTCAGTTTAAATGAAGATAACATCAATTACACATGGTTTTATTTGTGATCTCATGAAGTTATTTTGTTAATGGGGAATTTGATGTAATGGTTTCACAGTATGAAATAGATTTGTGCTTTAATAATATGCTATGAAAACTGTAGCATCACATTTCTTCTCAGGAAAAGAAGTTCAATGTAACGGTGATATCAGGTTATCGATATTACTTTCAATAATTTTTCACCAATTACCCTCTCATGTATATCAGCACATGGTCTGGATTGGACCGGATTGGGTTAAAACCAAGACCAATCTTTTTTTTCTTTTCAATAAAGTATACTAATTTTTCTTGAGATTTTGAGAAAACACAAGTAATTTTACAATTTTAACATAATTATATTGACCTCCTTTTAATAAAATTAAAGAATCTGAAACTATAATGCAAATAATGTGAAAATATAAGAATTAATAAGCATAAAAAATATATATTTTAGTGTAAAATAGATGAAAATTTCATTTTTTCATTCATATGACTAATAAATTATTGAAACAAATTTGCCATGTCTTATGTAAATTAGAACTTTAAAAAATCCTATATAGTTATGTCAAAATTGTAAGATTTATTTTATTTTTTTCTAAACTTCAAAAGATATTAGTGTAAATTTCACATCCATATGAGTGTTCGATCATTTTTTTAATAAAACATTTAAAATCTCTAACATTTTTTCTCTCAAAAAAAACTCCATAATAAAATGAAACATCATCGGGGTGTTAACGTAATTTACTCAAAAAATAAAATAATATCTTTCGCTACATTTTCCTTTCTATTTTTTATTTTTATTTTCGTTCTTGGAAACAAGGCAAGTGGATGTTGAATTTGTCATTATAAAGTATGAAAAGTTGGGAACGGGCTAAGTTGACGTTGAATTTTGATTACATCTTAAGTTTTTATTTTGTTTTTAGTATAAAGTGAAAAGAGTCATTCGGGTTCTAAATTTTTTGAACGATAGTCCTATGGTCTAATTTTTAGAATAATAAAGATAATAATAATTTAAAATATCATATTACCCTATCTATCAATTCACTATTCTAATTATTTATTCGTGTTACTTATCTATTCAATGTTTCTAATTTATCTATCTAATCTACAAATTGTTAGAAATATTCAAAATATGATGAAAAAAAGTACAACCAAAAAATTACAGTCCAATCCAACACATAAATTAACCAATGAATTTTGTTGGTTCAGTCTAGTGGGAGAAATTATCAATCTTTACATAAGAATTGACCCTTAACCTTCTACTATATAAAATTTGGTCAATTGAGTTAGCCCACTTAATTTATGCGTGTAGATTATTTATAAAATAAAATTAAAAAAAATCAATTTTAAAAAGTAAATAATCAATGTGAATCTATTTTTTATTTTTTTTTTCATTCTTGTAGAAAAAACAAATAATAATTATAATTATCGGATTATTTTTATTTATTTGATCTAACACATAACCAAGAAAACCCTTACATATAGGTATGCATCAAGTCCTAAAAAACCATTTACACAATAATAAAATGAAAAATTACAAATCAATGTAATTGTAAAAATTAATTATAAATTAATGATTAATTTTAATAATTAAAAAAATAATTTTTTTCATATATTTATAATTATTTTTTAAAAATTACACTAAATTATATTTTTCCCATAATAAAAAGGCCACCTGATATCTAAAGAAAATTGACACTGCAGCTTATATTTTATCTTATTTTCACTTTACGAAATTTTACAGTCATCCCTTTTCTCCTCTTTTTGCATTTTCTTCTTCTTCTTTTATTCTTTCATTTTGTCCAGTCCTTTGCCCCCATCAATTTAAAATTGGCTACAATTAGACAAATTCAACTTATCCCATATTCATTATGGGGGGGGGGGGATGAGAATTCCATATTTTGTTTTTGCATGCCGGTTGGATGCTCCATCCACAAAGAGCTTCCACATCTCTCGGAGGGGGGGGGGGGGATGAGAAATGGATTCCATGTTTTGTTTTTGTTTTGGAGTAATCCAATATTTTGGCATGTACTAATTTATTTATTTTTTTGTACTTGAGCTATAGGTCTAGTTTTATATTTTTTGAGGCAATAGTCACAAACTTTATTTTTTAAAGCCAAAATTACAATAATTATTTAAAAGATCATATTACCCCTACCTATTTATTTACTTGCCCACCTATTTGTTCAACTCACTTATCTGTTCACGAGTCATCGCCTTATCTGTTCATAAATGTCATTCGTTTGTCCGCCTAATCTATCTGTCCATGTACTAACCACCTCTAATGACTTTTCCAATGAATTTTTCAGAGCCAGCGACTTTTTCAATGCTAATGAACTTTCTGATGACCGGTGGTGGAATAAAATTAAAAAAAAAAATCTTCAAAACAACAATTTATTTTTCTCACTAAATAATTTCATTTAACATGTCCTTATTTCTAAAAAAAAAAAATATTAAACCTTGGACTAAATAACATAGGTGTGGACTTTTCACTAATTATCCTTTTTTTTTTTTGTATATTAATTAAAACTAAGTGGATGTTATTTTATATTTTTGTACATTAAAAATGGTTTCTATTTTTAGTTATATTTTTTATTTATATTTATTTTTTTATAGATTTCTATTCTTGACCCCTAAAGACAGAATACTGGTTTCATTCCTAATTACAGAGAAGCTCAATTCTCTTTCACAAATAAGTAATTTCTTTTTTATAATTGAACTTCCATTAATTAAGAAAGATTTGTTGGTGAATTTGGTTTTTGTTTCTCAATGACTTTCAATTAATGTGAACATCTTCTGAGTCTAATATGGTATTTGTTTAACAGCTAGCTATTCCAAAACGTATTGTTTAAGGCAAACTTCACAAACCATTATTGTATTAAAAAAAAAAATGTAATTAACAACAAAGTCAAACATTCAAAGTTAGTAGTTATCTGGACTATATTAATTGGTAGGCTGGCATTGAGTAGTTGGATTTATTTGAAGATTGAATTATTTGATGAGTGAAATCAATTCAATAATATTGGTAACTTCACCGAGGAAACAATCAACTACAATGACATTATTATATATATTCAATTAAAAAATCAAAACTTGAAGAAAAGAAAGAGAGAAAGAAAAGAAAAAAAAACACGGTCATTTTCACTACAATTTCCATCCTTGCATACTTATTCACACAATCATTTGCATAATTGAAGAAGAAAAAGGAGGAGGAGGAGGAGGATTCACACAATCATTTGCATAATTGAAGAAGAAAAAGGAGGAGGAGGAGGAGGAGGAATGATATGGAACACGAAAGAAAGAACAGTGTGGAGGAATAGTCAGGCAAGCCTCGAAGGAATACTAGCTTGTGATGTTTTTGTTGGGTACTGTGAAATTTTCCCTCGAACCTATCACGGAGATTTTGATTGAGGTGGTCATTGGATCACTTGTGATTCTTGTGACTTTGTTAATATTGTCTAAGAAGAAGTGTGCTATTCATAACCCGTGTTCATCAACAACAGGTATGGAGGTGAATCGCATAACTCATCGTAAAAGTAATGATGGGATCGGATTGGTGTTCTTTGGGAAGGGTGAGAAGGAATTTGAGATGGATCAGTTGTTTGCTTCTCAAGCTGAGGTTTTGGGGAAAGGTACTTTCGGGTGTACCTACAAGGCTAATTTGGAGGGCAAAGATGCCCTTGTAATCAAGAGACTGAAAACCCGTCAGCGTGCTTTTGGGAAAGAGAAGATTGAAGATTTAGGAGGAATGGTTCATGAAAATTTGCTTCCTCTCAAAGCATATTATCATGGTGAAGATGAGACACTTTTGATTTCTGATTATATGCCCATGGGAAGCTTGTCCCGTTTTTTGCAAGGTAAGTCTGTCCCAATTTGCTTTCCTTGTTTTGGCACATATATTATTTAACTTGTTTTTCTCAATTTTTCTTCTTCTTCCATTGATGATTTTATGATGATGAATGAGTTTACATCTAGACTTCTTCTTCTTCCATTGATGATTTTATGATGATGAATGAGTTTACATCTAGACTCTCTTTTTTTTTTCTTTTTTTTTGAAAATTTGAGTTTGTGTGGTTTGGGTGCTCTGCAATCCTTTTAGTTTGTGTTATTTTTAAATAAGAATTAGGAGTTACAGTTAATCTTAAAAAATTTTAAAAAAAAAAAAAAAAAGAGTATTTAAAAAAGAAAAGAAGAGCATATTCTTATGTTTTTTTTCATGAGATTTACATGTCTCTTGGGATTGCACTTCTGTTTATTGTCTTTTTCCATTCTAGTACACAGCATATTCTTTGCACCTAGTATATATAGATTTATATTATCTTTGGATTATCCCTGTGGTTGATATGCTGCCTGAATTTTGTCATCCCATAACTGTGTTTTAAATCAGGTAAAAACAAAATTATCCAAAATTCTTTTTGACTCTTAATTCAGCAGAACCCCATATCCGCCACTTTTATGTCGATTCATTGTCTTTGAGTTTGTGCATCAGCACAAGAATATAGTCTATCTGTCCTATTGGTTTAGACTGCTATAACACTGAAGTCTGCATTACTATGTCTTAACCTAGGCAAAAACAAAATTTCCCGACTTTTTTAGCTCTTAATCCACATCTCCATACATTACCCGCCCTGTTTAAGCCAATTATAATCATGATTATGTCTTTGCAATTCACTTATATTTTCCTCCACTGTTTGACAGCTTACAATATATGCATGAGCACAAGTTTATATAGCCAATGGTACTGATATTTGCATAATTGCAAGACAGTTCTTTTTCTTGCATAGAAACCCACTCATGGGGTGAGGCCTACAAAAAGCTGAGACGCACCTCATGTGAGAGGCTCATGTCCAATTCTGTGATTAGTTTGTGTGTTTATGTACTTTTTCATTTTCAAGATTGCTACAACCTGCCTGGTAACTTTCACGAAAGTCACAAAATTTTCTCAAGAAAATAATATTACTAGCCCAAACATGAGCATAAGAATGTCCATGATGCATCAAAAATTGAAAAAACAAAATCGTTTTGCCACTTTCTCATTGCTGCTCTTTTCTGTACCACCAAGTAGGAAGGACAAGCATTTCGCTCAATTGGCACGTTAGGCGTAAAATAGCTTATGGAGTTGCACGTGGTATCGAATATCTGCACTCCCAAGGCCCCAATGTGTCCCACGGAAACTTGAGATCGTCTAATATTCTCCTAACCAATTCCTTCGATGCACGTGTCTCCGAGTTTGGCATAGCCCAACTTCTCCCAGCTGAATCCAAACTCAACTGCATTGCTGGCTATCGAGCGCCTGAGTTGACAAATGCAAACAATACTGTTTCTCAAAAAGCCGATGTCTACAGTTTTGGTGTGGTGCTTTTGGAACTGTTAACCGGTAAGCCACCAAAGCATGGTGTTTCAGAAGACTTGCCTAAGTGGGTGATTTCGATGTTTCAAGAGAAGCCCATCATTGATGTGTTTGATCAGAAGCTACTAACAAACCAGGACGTGGAAATTGAGGAGCAAATGTTTCTGATTTTGCAACTTGCAATTTGCTGTACTTTTCAGTACCCGAAAAACCGACCCTCCATAGCTGTTGTGGCTAACCGAATTAGGGATATCTGTTATTCTGGATCATCATAAATGTATTCTTACATTTCAGATCCAAAATTGGAGAGTGGAATCACATAACAAATTTCATTAGCATGCTGAGCTAAAAAGTCCAAGATTTATAGTCTTCATGATATATTTGTCACCCTTCATTTCCAAGAATGTTACATTGTTGATGTTTTAGTGTTTGGCAAACCAAACCATCTCTATTTCCAGACAAAGACAAAAATAAATGGCACTGAAATCATTCACATTCATTTCTAAAGCACTAAACTTTCTATTATGCAGCTCTAAACATTTGAATCATGAACTTGGATGAAAATTTGGAATGATAAAGGAAATTGAGAAAAAAAAATTTAGCTTACATTTTATTCACATTGTTATCATATTTTCCGTTTTTATTTTCAAATTCCTTTCTAAACCCATAATTACTAAAAATCGGAACTTTTGCAACGGCCTCAAATGTCGCAAAAGGTCCACAAGTCGTTGCAAAAGACTTTTTGCGACGGAGTAGCGACAGGAAATGGGAGGTGCAATTGTGAGTGAGATGGAGGCAACTACGAATCTCATTCGTCAAAGAAACGAACGGCTGTGCAAGGGTGAAAATCTTGCAGAGATATTCATTTAGGGGCTTTACCTGCCAGCGAAAACACAAAAGAAAGCGGCTTTTGGAGGAAGCTAAAAAACAGAGATCCTCTTTGGTTCGAGTTCAAAGTTTCCTTCTTTTTTTGGGGGGGGAAGGGCTAATTTGGCTATTTTAGTCCTAAAAAATAAAATAGGCTATTTTAGTCGTAAAAAATAAAACATCACATCTAACTCGTAATCATTATACTATTCTCTCACAAAAAAAAGTCAAAAAAATCAAAAAACGCTTCCCAAATCAGACTTTTTAGCCCAGGCTAAAATAGTCAAAAAAATCAAAAAGTCAACCCACTTCCCAAACCAACCCTTATTCATATCCTTTGTAAAATTAGGTAAAACTAACAAATGCTTTTAATTTTTTTCACAAAATTAATTTTGAAGGCCTTATTTGGAAAGTAATTTTTTTAGCTTAAAAGTCAAAAAGTCATTAAAAAAATCAAAAAAACCAACAACTTATATCAAAAAGTCAAAAATTTTATTTTTTCTCTACTTTTTGCACATCTTTTTGTAAAAAATCAAAATTCATCCCAAACATACTAGTTTTTTTACATTATATTTTAGGGGTCCAGTGTCACTGCTATGCGTGAAGCATAGCAGTGACTGTTGTGCGGTCTGTAAAACTCATTTCAAGTCTTATTTTGATAATCTGAACCGTTGAAAAATTAAAAAATATTGAGAACAATATACTTGTTAAAAATCAAGTTGATCGGATATCAATAACATGTTCATCAAATAACTTTGTATTTAGTTTGATACATACATATTCATTTTTTATATATGAAGATGTTATTTGATTAATAGATTATTGATATCTAATCAACTTGATTTTTTACAAGTATATTGTTCTTGATATTTTCTAAATTTTCAACGGTTCGAATCATCAAAATAGGACCCGATATGAGTTCCACGAATCGCACAACAGTGGCTCCATATTTTAGCTAAAAAGTTACTAAAAAAACTTGCTCTCAAACGAGGCCTTTAAAAAATTTCTCAAACAAGTATCAAAAAATTAAACTAAATATGGCCACTAACAAATCTAAAAAAAATAAACGATTCGAAAATGAACCCAACAAGTACAAACACTCTCTTAAGTTAGATGAACAACTTGAGAACAACTTGAGAATCCAAAGTCCTTTAGAAAGTTCTAATAAAAACGTACAAAACCACCTTTTTTCATTAACAAAACTGTTGTGAACAAATAGTTTTATTATCGTTAAATGTTTAACTCTTTGCTCATGCCAATTTATTGTCGCCAAAAGTAAACTGACTAATAGCAACGCTTATCGCGTTGCCAAAAAATAACCCTCATCACTAAAAGTTTCGAAATTTTAGCACCAAGCACATTTTTAGCGACGGTAGTAAATTGCGTCATTAAAGTTCTATTTTTACTGACAAAATTGATCAATGTGTTGCAAAAAATATACTTTTGGCTATAAAAAATTAACGTTGTGGCCAAAATTGCAATTTCTTGTAGTGGTAGTTGGCCAATCATTCGTAGAGAAGACTGGCGGTTTCCTTTTTTTTCTTATATATATTTTATCCAAAGAGAAATCTGAAAGTTTAGGGATGAGCGGGAAAGAGGGAGGGGGTGAGGGGAGGGCGCGAAGGTAATTAGGAATTGAGTTTTTGCGATGAGTTTAAGGACGGTCATTAATGTGCAAAAATAAAATCTTTTTTGATGGACTAACAAAGGCGTCGCAAAAAATATTCTTGTTAAAAAAAACAACAGAGGAGCAATGTACGGTCATGTATAATATTACGCTTTACCACAGTCTTGAATTTTTTGTCTCTGATAATGATATTTAGTTGATGCCTTTTTTGCGACAGTCAAATACTATCGCAAAATAATTAATTTCGCAACGATTTTTTTTTCCATTTTAAAGCTTCCTTTTTGCAATGATTTTCAAATTGTTGCAAAAAAATCCGTGTCTAAAATCTCTTTTTCTAGTAGTACTCGAACATAACATAGCCTAAGGCAAACTAAAATGATTCACATTTATTATGCAGATCTAAACACTAACCATCTACTAGTCTATTTTTATTGGGGGACAAAACAAACTAAAATGGTTGACATTGATTATGCAGCTCTAAATATGAAGGTTCTATTTGAATGGACGAATTTGAAAACAAATTTTACAAAAGTATCGGAAATCATTTATAGGCGAATTGAGAAACCAACGAAGATAGAAAAAGTACTTTATTAGGGTCCTCGTAAAAAAAAGGGGGAAAATTTGTTTAAGATCTCTATCCAACTTTTGATAGGAGGAGAGGTCCACAATAATATGTTTTGATGGCTAAGGTCCCTCAACTTTATTTTATATTATAAAATCCCTAATTTACCCTTCTTTATAACATAAATTTGTTTGGATCTTGGCAAACTAAATATTCTATTACTGACTTCATGGTGGAGATTTTGGAAACTGACTTCGCGGTGGAGATTTCGTAGGGATTTTGCAAGTGTTGTAGTGGACTTAATGATGAGATTGCTATGATCGTGTAGGTGTTACAGTGTGTTGATCGTGTAGGTTTTTTAGTGGAGTTGAATCAGGTATGTTTTCGATGGAGATTCCACATAGATTTCGATTTTTGTTTTGAATTTTATGTAAGGATTCCGATTTCATAATAGTTTTTCTAGTGTATTTTTGCATTAGGTTTTTGTTTTCAGTTTTGATCAATTTAAAAGAGAGGCTAGCTCAGTGAAGTTGTTTATGGTTTTTGGAGTTGATTTTTCATTCTCTGTTATTGATCAATTTTAGAGAGAGGCTAACTTGATAGAGTTGATTTTGATTTTTGGAGTTCATTTTTCATTCTCTGTTTTTTGATCAATTTCAAAGAGAGTTGATAGTGGAGTTGATTTTGATATTTAGAGTTCATTTTTCGTGCTCTGTTTTTCATCAACAGGGTTATCAATGATAAGTTTTGTTCTCTATTTTTTTAAACCAGAGAAATTTCTTCAAAACCAGAGGCAAGCGTAAATTTCTTATCATTTTTTTATCTCTATTTTTTCTGCACTTTTGTTGGTATAGTACAGAGAAAATTGTAAGGTTGTTATTATAATCCAACGAAAATCATAGAGAAAATTATAAGTTCATATGGACATATTATTAGAAGTTTCTAATGCAGATAGAATCTCAGAGAAAATTATAAGTTTGTGGTTCAGTGAAAATCACATAGAAAATTGTAAATTTGTAGTCTAGTGAAAATCACAGAGAAAATTGTAATTTGTTATAGACATGTTATCATAAGTTTGTTATTTTTTATTTCTTATTTTTCTCAATTGAATGTTTTGTGAGCATAACAAATCTTCTCTATAAGTTTCTCTGCATTTTTGTCAATTTGATGTTAATGTGTTTTTATTTTTGTGATCTTAAAAGTGAATATAAGTTCTTAAATTTCTCTGGACTTTTATTTATAATTCAGAGAAAATTATAAGTTTGTTATTCACTTTCAGTTTGTAGTTCAAAGGAAATTATAAGTTTGTAGTTCAAAGTGAATATAAGTTTTTGTTTCTCTGAGCAGAAGTAATTTTTTGTGCTTTTTTTTTTTCAGTTTAGATGGACAGTACAGTGTTTTTTGTTATCTTGAATGTGTATATAAGTTTGTAAATTTCTCTGAATTTTGATATGAGTGCAATATTGCACAATCACACAGAGAAAATTGTAAGCTTGTAGTTCAGTGAAAATCACATAGAAACTTATAATTTCATAACAGATCTTATGTGTGATTTTTGTTTATGATTGTGTTTAATAGTTAGCAGTAAATTTCTCTGTGATTCTTTCCGGATTCATTAAGTTTTCTGTGATTTTGTTTTTGTTATCTTGAATGTGAATATAAGTTTGTAAATGTCTTTAGACTTTTATTTGAGTCTAGAAAAAATTATAAATTTGTTATTATAATCCAGAGAAAATTATAATTATTAGAAATTTCTCTAAATTTTTATGTTGTTCTTGTGAAGTGTTTTTATATTGAACAAATTATTCTTCTTGTTTTTTCTTTCAGTTTTGATGGACAGTGCAATGTTGTTGCTGTGCAAATATGAGAATTTCATGTGAATTGAATTTTGAGGAATTGGTTGGCATTTTGTGTAAAACATGGGAGAATTTGAAACCTGAGACGATGTGTATTTCATATTCCATTGTGGGCCATCCGAATTGTATGATTCGAAATAATATTGATTTTCTGAATATGTTGAGGGTTGTTTGTGCACATGGTGTTGATATAGTTGATGTTTCAGTTATTAGGTGTAGTACTTCTGATCAAGAGGATGAAGTGGTGTCTAATTGGGTAGATGTTGTGCATGGTGAACGTAGTATAGACTGGTGGATATTGAAAGGAATTTACTCTCTAAGTTTTGTTCTCACCAAGAAAAGGTGTTATTGTCAGCTGGTTGGCGAAATAATATTACGAGTGTTGGACAAAAGTTTGAGGGTAATATGGTTGAGTTCTGTATTGTTTTATGCAAGTATGCTATTGAGATTGGTTTTTAATTTATGTATGTTAAAAATGACAACCTGAGGGTTACAGTAGAATGTGCATATAAGGAATCAAGAGGATGCTTGTTGCATGTACATGCTTCAATTGAAAAAACAAATGGGGTCTTTTACATAAGAACCTT